TCCTCCCGTTAGTCGTAAGTCGTCCGTTGTCGGCGTCGAAGTCGCCATCGTCATCGTCGTCGTCGCCGTCGTCGTCGTGTCAACCACCAGCATCTGGAGCGCCTCGGATCGGCGGCACTGGCCGGAGGCCATTCGAATAACGATCGTCGCATCTGCTGGCCTGCCTCGTCTCGCACATCGATTGGTGGTCTTGTGTGTGCGTGTGTGTGGGTGTGTGGGTGTTTGTGTGGGTGTGTACGTACGTGTGTGTGTGTGGTGTGTAGGTGTGTGTAGGTGTGTGTGTGTGTTGTTGTTGCGTGTGTGTGTGTGTGTGATGTGTGTCTGTGTGTGCGTGTGTGTGTGTGTGTGCGTGTGTGTGTGTGCGTGTGTGTGTGTTGTGTATTGTGTGTTGTGTGTGTGCGTTGTGTGTGTTCTGTGTTGTGTGTTTATTGTGTATATTGTGTGTGTTGTGTGTGTTGTGTGTTGTGTGTTGTGTGTTGTGTGTGTTGTGTGTTGCGTGTGGTGTGTGTGTGTTGTGTGTGTGTTGTGGGTGTTGTGTGTGTTGTGTGGTGTGTGTTCCGTGCTGTGTGTTGTGTGGTGTGTGTGTTGTGTGTGTGTGTGTTGTGTTCTCTGTATTGTGTTGTGTGTTGTGTGTTGTGTGTTGTGTGTAGTTGTGTGTGTTTGTGTCTGTTGAGTGTTGTGTGTTGTGTGTGCGTTTGTGTGTGTTGTGTGTGTTGCGTGTGTTGTGTGTTGTGTGTTGTGTGTTGTGTGTTGTGTATGGTGTGTGTGTCTTGTGTGTTGAATTGTTGTGTGTGTGTTGTGTGTGTGTTGTGTGTGATGTGTTTTTGTGTGTTTGTTGTGTATTGTGTGTGTTGTGTGTGTTGTGTGTTATGTGATGTGTGTGTGTGTGTTTGTGTTGTGTGTGTTGTGTGTGTTGTGTGTGCTGTGTGTGTTGTGTTTGTGTGTGTATTTGTGAATGTGTTTGTGTGTTTGTGTGTGTTTGTGTGTGCGTTTGTGTGTGTTGTGTGTGCCTGCGTGCGTGCGTGCGTGCGTGCGCGTGTGCGCGTGTGCGTGTGTGTGTGTGTGCATGTGTGTGCGTGTGTGTGTGTGTGTGCGTGCGTGCGTGCGTGCGTGCGTGCGCGCGCGCGTGCGCGTGTGTGTTCGTGTGTGTGTGTGTGTTTGTGTGTTTGTGTGTTTGTGTGTGTGTGGGTGGGGGGGGGGGGCCAAGGTCAAGCCCAGCTGACGTCATCCACTCCTAAGCCACCTGGCGGATCCTGGTGCCGCGCGCCAGCCACCACGGCGGCGCGTGGTTTCCTCTCTGCTCTCCCTCCCCCGCGCCCATGCGCAGGCCGCCCACTGGCTGCGCGCTGCCCACCCTGGCGGCGTGCAGCCCCAGCGGTCTGCCCCAACTGCACACTTCCTTGCTCCGATTAGGTGCCCCGACCTGGCCTGCCCTGTCCACCCCGGCAGTGGGGGCCGCTGGCCTCGGCCACAGTTTTGATTGGCCACGGAACGCCGCTCGCTGTCCACCCCGGCAGCGAGCAGCCGCCCTGGCCCTCCTGTGGCCCGCCCTGTCCACCTGGGCACTGGGGGCCGCTGGCTTTGGCCACAACTTTGGCTAGCCAACGGTGCGCCGGTTGCTGCCCATCCTGGCAGCGAGCAGGCAGACGCCCTGGTCCAGTTCACGGTATTTACGCCAGTCTTTGCACATCCTACCCGTGCCCTGGGCTGCGGCCCCTGCCTCAGCCCTGAGCGCAGCCTCGGGACCCCCTGCTGCAGCGGCCCAGCCCGCCGCACGCAGCCTGCTGCCGCAGGCGCGGCACCGGCGTTGCCGTTCCGCCTGCGGGGCTTCCCGCAGGCGGGGCGTTCCTCCTCCTTGTTCTCCCTCCCCCCCCCTTGCCCGCTCTACCTCCCTCCGCGCGCCGCCATGGCGCCTCGGCTGCTGCATCCTGCAGTCGACACGCCTTCGGGATCCTGGGCCTGGTCTTGCCGCCCTTCTCCCCACGCTGACCTGGCATTTTGCTGGATGCAGTCCAACCTGGATGTAGTTGTACTTGACGCACCCTGTCCTGCGCCCCCACCTGGGCGGCGCGCGGTCCGCTGGCCTTGCACCTCGGGCTCTACGTCGGCGACTCGCTGCCTCGTCTTGCAGTACCCGCACTGGGCCCCGCCTCCACAGGTGCACCAGCGCGGCGGCCTGGCTGCTGCTACAGTCCCCGCCGGCAGGGCTGGCCGCGCCAGCCACCCAGGGATGTGACCCGTCCGCCCTGAGTGGTCGTCTCACCCCCCTCCTCTGCGGCCGCCCGTCCTGTCCCATTTTGCCGCTCTAACATGCCTGCCAATTCGCTACACCGGCGCCCCATTTTAGTTCAGCTCACTCCGCCAGCGCAGACGACACCTGCCTAGCCGCCGACGCAAAAGTGCGTGTGTGTAGGATGTGTGTGCGTGTGTGTATGCGCGTGTGTGTGTGTGTCGTGTGTCGTGTGTCGTGTGTCGTGTGTCGTGTGTCGTGTGTCGTGTGTCGTGTGTCGTGCCGTGTGTCGTGTGTCGCGTGCGCGTGCGCGTACGCGTGCGCGTGCGCGTGCGCGTGCGCGTGCGCGTGCGCGTGCGCGTGCGTGTGCGTGTGCGTGTGCGTTTGCGTGTGGGTGTGCGTGTGCGTGTGCGTGGGCGTGAGCGTGGGCGTAGGCGTGCGCGTGTGCGTGCGCGTGTGCGTGTGCGTGTGTGTGTGTGTGTGTGCGTGTGTGTGTGTCGTGTGTCGTGTGTCGTGTGTCGTGTGTCGTGTGCCGTGTGCCGTGTGTCGTGTGTCGTGTGTCGTGTGTCGTGTGTGTCGTGTGTCGTGTGCCGTGTGCCGTGTGTCGTGCGTCGTGTGTCGTGTGTCGCGTGTCGTGTGCCGTGTGTCGTGTGTCGTGTGTCGTGTGCCGTGTGCGTGTGCGCGTGTGCCGTGTGCCGTGTGCGTGTGCGTGTGCGTTTGCGTGTGCGTGTGCGTGTGCGTTGCGGTTTGCGTGTGCGTGTGGGTGTGCGTGTGCGTGTGCGTGTGCGTTTGCTTGTGCGCGTGCACGTGCGTGTGCGTGTGCGCGTGCGTGTGCGTGTGCGTGTGCGCGTGCACGTGCACGTGCGCGTGCGCGTGCGCGTGCGCGTGCGCGTGCGCGTGCGCGTGCGCGTGCGCGTGCGCGTGCGCGTGCGCGTGCGCGGGCGCGGGCGCGTGCGCGTGCTGTGTGTGTGTATGTGTGCGTGTGCGTGCGCGTGTGCGTGCGCGTGTGCGTGTGCGTAGGCGTGTTCTTGTGCGTGCGCGTGCATGTGCGTGTGCGTGTGATTGTGCGTTTGTGCGTGTGTGCGTGTGTGCGTGTATGCGTGTGTGCGTGTGTGCGTGTGCGTGTGCACGTGCGTGTGCACGTGTGCGTGTGCGTGTGCGCATGCGTGTGCGTGTTCTTGTGCGCGTGCGTGTGCGTGTGCGTGTGCGTGTGCGTGCGCGCGTGCGCGCGTGTGCGCGTGTGCGCGTGTGTCTTCGCGTGTGCGCGTGTGCGCGTGTGCGCGTGTGCGCGTGTGCGCGTGTGCGCGCGCGTGCGCGTGCGCGTGTGTGCGTGTGCGTGTGCGTATGTATGCGTGTGCGTGTGCGTGTGCGTGTGCGTGTGCGTGTGCGTGGGCGTGTTCTTGTGCGTGTGCGTGAGCGTGTGCGTGTGCGCGTGCGCGCGTGTGCGCGTGTGCGCGTGTGCGCGTGTGCGCGTGTGCGCGTGTGCGCTGGTGCGCATGTGCGTGTGCGTGTGCGTGTGCGTGTGTGAGCGTGAGCGCGTGCGTGTGGGTGTGCGCGTGTGCGTGCGTTTTCGTTTGCGTTTGCGTTTGCGTGTGCGTGTGCGTGTGCGTGTGCGTGTGCGTGTGCATGTGTGTGTGTGCTTGTGTTTGTGTACGTGTGCGTGTGCGTGTGCGTGTGTGTGTGAGTGCGTGACTGCGCGAATGTGTGAGTGCGTGCGTGCGTCCGTGCGTCCGTGCGTCTGTTCGTCCGTGCGTCCGTGCGTCCGTCCGTGCGTCCGTGCGTGTGCGTGCGTGCGTGCTTTCGTGCGTGCGCGCGTGCATGCGTGCGTGTGTGCGTGCGTGTGTGCGTGGGTGCGCGTGGGTGTGTGTGTGTGTGTGTGCGTGTGCATGTGCCTGTGCGTGTGCGTGTGCGTATGTGTACGTGTGTGCGTGTGTGCGTATGTGTATGCCCGATCGCCGGAGCAGTAACTTCTGCCAAGCCGCCGACGCAAAAAAATGTGTGCGTGTGCGTGTGCGTGTGCGTGTGCGTGCGCGTGCGCGTGTGGGTGCGTGTGCGTGTGCGTGTGCGTATGCGTATGTGCGTGTATGTGTGTGTGTGTGTGCGTGCGTGCGTGCGTGCGTGCGTGCGTGTGTGCGTTGTCTAACGATCCCGAGGCCTGGCGAGGGCCCCCGGAGGCCGAAATCAGCCAAAAACCGCCCGCTCCATTTTTTTGGAGCGTCGGATCTCTGGGTCCTTCCGTGTCTTCCATCCAGGCTTATCGACCGCTGGATTGGATTTCGGCGTCCAGCGGAAGCGCCCTCACCGTGAGGGAGGGCCCGCGAGGGACGCGCCGCACCCAAGAAGAGGCGGCGAGAGCACGGCTGCGCAACCCACAGTGATCCCTTGGCAGACCCCGTGTGGCCTCCAGCTGGTGTCTTCCCAGGGATCCGACGCAGCAGCAAAAGTTGGAACCGGATGTCTGGGTTCCTTGTTTCTTCCTAGCTTTGGCGGCGGGCCTAGCGGGGAAGTAAGACGGGGCAGGCCTTTTCAGAAGGCGGCGGGGCGTTTCAGAAGCCCTCGCGCCTTCTGAGAAGTGCTCTCTGCTGTTCGGAGAAGGCTGAAAAGACCTCCCAGAAGGCGCGAGGGCTTCTGAGAGGCCCCGCCGCCTTCGGAGAAGGCCTGGCCCCCATCTCACCTCCCCCCCAGGCTCGCCGCCGACCACGGTTGGCCTCTCGAGGGTCTGCCCAATCGCTCCTTGGCCTCCCTGGGCCCTCTGGGCGGGCCGGCATACCCGGTCCTTGCAGAACGTCTTCATCTCGTTGGCGCACTTGATCCTGTAAAGGGGCCCAAGGGCACACAAATAAAGAGACACCAATTCCCAAGTTACCAATATTTTTCCATAACTCCTGGGTTTCCCTCTTCCGCTCCATTTCCCAACGAGTTTCCCATGTTCGTATGGAAATCAGCGTTTGGTTGTGTCTGTGTCTATTTTCCCCTCCTGATCCTGGTCGTGAAGTCGATGCCCGCGCGGCTGCCCGCGGTCTTCTGGAAGATCGAGACCATCGTCTTGCACACTGGGCTGGAGATTTCCTGTACCCTGTTCTGCAGGCACTGGTGCCACCTTCCACGCCCCTGCCACTTCCTCCTTCCTCCCTCAACCCTCCCTGTCCTCCTCCTCCTCATCATCCTGCTGCTCCTGGTCCTGCTCCCGTTCTTGCTCCTGCTCCTGCTCATATTCCTGCTCCTCCTCCTCTTCCTCCTCCTCCTCTTTTTCTTCGTCTTGTTATTCGTACGGTTAGTCTGCTTATTACTGTGTGTCGTCTTCTGATTGTCATTCGTAGTATGATTGCTAGTATTCTTCTTTATATTAACAATGACATTAATACTATCATTACAATTAGAACAACCATTAGCAATGATGATAATAGTAGTATTAAGTTTACTCTTATTCCTACTCCTCCTCCTCCTCCTCCTCCTCCTCCTCCTCCTCCTCCTCGTCTCTCTGCGTCAAGACCCTCCTCCTGTTGCTGCTGCTGCTCCTGCTCATGCTCCTGTCCCTGTCTCTGCTCCTCCTCCTCCTCCTCCTCCTCCTCCTCCAGATCCTCCTCCATCTCCGCCTCCTCCTCCTCCTCCTCCTCCTCCTCTCCTACTCCTCCTCATCCTCTTCCTCCTTATCCACCACCTGTCTGCATCAAGAACCTCCTCCTGCTCGTCCTTCGTCCTCCTTTCCTCCTCCTCCTCTCCTCTCCTCCTCCTCTCCTCCTTCCTCCTCCTCCGCCTCATCCTCCTCTTCCTCCTCCTCCCCTGCGTACGTCAAGGCCTTCCGGATGCTGCTGCTGTTCCTGCTGCTACTGCTGTTTCTGCTGCTGCTGCTGCTGCTGCTCCTGCTGTTGCTGCTGCTACTATTGCTGCTACTGATGTTCCTCCTCATCATCCTCCTCCTCCGGCTCCTCCTCTTCCTCCTCCTCCTCCTCCTCGTCCTCCTCCTCCTCCTGCTCCTCTTCATCCTCCTCCTCTTCCTCCTCCTGATCCTCTTCCTCCTCCTCCTGCTCCTCCGCCTCCTCCTCCTTCCCCTCCTCCTCCTCCTCCCGCCATATTCCTCCTCCTCCTCTTCCGCCTCTTCCTCCTCTCCCTCCTTCTCCTCCTCCTCCTCCTCCTTCTCCTCTTCCTCCTCCTCCTTCTCCTCTTCTGCTTCTTCTTCTGAGTATGATTATTATTCATCTTCTTCCTCCTCCTCCTCCTCATCTTCCTCCTCCTCCACTTCTTCCTCCTCCTCCTCCTCTTCCGAGGCGGTGCAGTCGTACACCCACCTCCTTAATAGTTGTGAGTGTCGGCTCATGTGGCCGACGCAGATTATGTTGGGCATCATTGCTCTGTTGCCCAAGTCTGCTGCGAGCGAAAGACCTGTGTGCAAGTGTCCCACTTTGTACCGAGTCTATTGCAAAGCTCGTGGAAGCCATGTTGAGGATTGGTCCCTTGCCCAGGTCAATCATTGGGACACTGCTATTCGAGGGTCTTCGGCTCTGCAGGCTGCGCTTAACCGAGAGCTCGGCCACGAGATGGCCAGGTATCTTGGGTTGTGCTCGGTGGGAGCGTATTGGGACCTTAAGAAGTTTTTTGATACTGTGGACCCTTGTCGCCTTGCTGGACTCGCCGTGAAGATGAGGTACCCCCTGTTCCTCCTGTATTTGGGGATTGTGCTGCACGAAGCTCCTCGTATCCTCGAGGTCCAGGGTTTCTGTTCTGACCTCATCCCCACTGGAATGGGCATCTTGCCTGGCCGTGGCCAATTCATGCCGTGGATTAAGATCTGTTTGTATGACATACTGGATCAGGCCCACGCCTCCTTCCTGCCTGTCCGCATCAAGGGATACGTTGACGATACCACTCAGACGCAGCAAGGATCCCGCGAGGAGGTCCTCGCCGCGTTCGTGCCTGCCGCATTGCACTTGTGCCACGAGCTGGAGGCTGCTGGCACAGTCATTGCAGATAAAAGTACACCTTTGGTCTCCCACAAAGAGCTCGGAGCCGAGATCATGCAGATGTTCGCGTCAGTCAACCTTCCTATTCAGTGGAGAGATTCGGTCCGAGATCTGGGGGTCATGTCTTCTGCAGGTCTCCGCCGAAATATGAGCAAATTGCGACAACGGCGTGCTATCGCCTATCGAAAGAGTAGCAAGGTGCATGTTTTAACTCGGCTTGTCGGCCGAGCGAGCAAGCTGTACAAACCTGGGGTCCTGGCCGTGGGGTCGTGGGGCCATGAGGTCTTGGGGCGTTCCCCTGGTGAAGTCAAGTCCATGCGCGCTCAGGCTGCCACGTGCTCTGGGTTGTGGGCCCCAGGGGCTTGCACCACTAGGTACCTTGCTAGGCTTACTGGGGGCTGCGAAGGATGACCCCCAGTTTAGGCTTCGCTATGAACAGCTCAATGGTTGGGCTTTATCTTGGGCGGATCTTGATCATAAATCGCGCAGGTTGTGTGCTGAGGTTAGGAAGAAGATATCTACCAAGATGGATCAGACCAAGTATCGTCGGCAGGTAGTTCGAGGGCCGATGGCGGCCACTATTGCTGTGCTCCGTGACCTTGGCTGGCAGGCTGAGTCACCAGTGTACTGGCGCACTGAGGATTCGGTTTTAAGGTTGAATGATGGTGATTGTCCTTTCCAGCTTTGGGGAGCGCTTTTGAGAACGTGTTTTGCTGTGTCCTGGGACCAAGCCTCGAAGCACTTTTGTGGTGCGGGCCTGGAGAGAGGAGTTGATTTTACCCCAGTGCGTAGATTTTTGGCCAAGCTTGCCCGAGACGGTGAGCACGAGTCGGTGGGCATATTGCGTAATGTGCTCATTGCCGCGTCCTGGCCTGAAGAGCGATTGCATGCTGCTGGGTACGTCTCTGATAGTAATGGGCTCTGTGGGAGATGTGGAGAGGCCCCTGAGTCCCCGCTGCATCGGTACTGGCAGTGTGCGTGCAATCGAGATAGCCCTGGCTACACTATTGGAAATACCGACTCCTTGGCTCCCAAGGCCATTGCGGAAAACGGCAAGCTGAGTTTTTGGTGTAGAGGGCTCCCGTCGTTGGGCGACTCCTTAGGGCACCTTCCCCCTCCGCAGCGATTGGTTTGGGATTGGGGACGGTGTGTTGAGGGGGAGCTCATACGTGAGGGCGTTTGGGGTTTTGATGGGTCTGGAAGCAAATACTCGAAGGATTGGAGGCTACGTCGATGTGGATGGTCCTTCGTGCACCTCGGCCCCGATGGTAAAACAGACGCGGCTGACTGTGGATATTTGCCGTGTGCGCGTCAGTCTTCACCAAGGGCAGAGCTCTATGCTTTGATCGAGCTGTTGCGTGCTAGTGTCGGAGATGTTCGAGTTTATTGTGACTGTCTGTTAGTCGTGAAGGGTGCGAGGAAAAGCTTACGGGCCAAGGGGAAGTCTAGTATGCTGGACCTGTGGGCTGAATTTCACCTTGTGCTCTCCGAACGGAAGGGTTCTCTCCGACTGATCTGGACCAAAGGACACCCCACCCAAGCCCAGGCCGAAAACATGTTTTGCCTGATGTAGAGGTGTATTTGAACAAAGCGGCTGACCGCATTGCTGATTGGGCTGCCGATAAGGCCCAGTTGGACGAGAATCCTGTTTCTCTTATTGTGCGGGCTGATGGGCTCGCCGTTCAAGTTTTAAAAAGAATCCTGACCGTCCAGCGTGAAGTGTTGTTTTCCTCGGAGCGTGAGAGGAAGGGGCTCCGCGAGCCTCGGCGAACTCGTGGGGTCGTCTCCTCTCTGTCCGAGCGTGTTTGTCGGTTGAGAGATGCAGACCACGATCCCTCTGTTCATAGGGCATGCATCAAGTGCAGGCAATGTGGGCTGAGCTATGGCCTGAAAGGCCAGCTTGCGAGTTTCTGGCCCACGGCGTGCAAGCCCCGTTGCATCATCCAGCAGCGCGTTCAACTGCTTGCGCCGCGGGAGGTGAGGGGTGACGCTGGCGCTGACCCCACCCCTGATTGCTTGGAGCCGTCGGACTTGTGTGGGGGTGCCCTGGACCACCCGTTGGCCGACCGTTGTCACCCCTCCCACCGGCTGTCGGTGCAGCGAGGAGTTCTGTTCTGCACGGTCTGTGGAGGATTTTGCACTGTTGCCCCTCCCCGCATCCTGAAGGGAGTGTGCGGAGACCCCGCCCGAGGGCCATGCCTCTCGAGGGCGGGGCGCGAGGTGCTCTCGCGCCTATCCAGGGGGCTGCCACCAAAGTCGGGCACTGCGTTCCCTGATCGGGCATGAATGTGAATGTGCGGCCTGCCTAGAGCAGGACCCCCGCCTTAGATAGCATTAGAATTAGAATTTCTCCTCATCCTCTTCCTCCTCCCCTCCTCTTCCTCCTCCTCTTCCTCCTCCTCCTCTTCCCCCTCTCCCCCTCCTCCTCCTCCTCCTCCTCCTCCTCCTCCTCCCCCTCACCATCACCATCATCATCTCATCATCATCATCATCATCATCATCATCATCATCATCATCAACAGCATCATCATCATCATCATCATCATCATCATCATCATCATCATCATCATCATCATCATCATAATCATCATCGTCATCAGCATCATCATCCTCATCATCATCATCATCATCACCATCATCATCGTCACCAGCATCATCATCAGCGTCATCATCATCATCATCACCACCACCATCATCATCATCATCATCCTCATCCTCATCCTCATCCTCATCCTCATCCTCATCATCGGCACCAGCATCAGCATCAGCGTCATCATATTCATCATCTGCATCCTCATGATCATCATCATCAGCAACATCATCATAAGTATCCTCCTTCTCCTCCTCCTCCTCATCCTCATCCGCCCTCCGACCTCTTCCACCTCCTCGTTCTTACCCTCCCTCCTCCTGCCCCCTCTCCCTCCGCCCTGCCTCTTTCCCACCTCCCTCATCCCTCCTTTCCCCCGAGGACTTGTGCACGACGTGGTCCCACAGACGTATCCGCCCACCCCCCTCGGACGGCCTCTGCATCCCGAGCGCCGCTCTCTGACGGCCAGCGGGGCATGGCCAGGGCCACCAGAGGCCGAAGACGGCCTATTATCCTGGCGAAGAATCGGATGTGAGTGCCGCAAGGCTGGTG